TTTTACGGATAACTGCTTCCCTACGAATTCATCCTGATAACCAGCACTGTTTAGCCTTCTCCACTGTCTTTCCACTGATTCAGCCAAGAAATGAGTACATGATCTGTCCATTGCATTTGTGATTAAAGACTTGACAATACCTGCTTTGACTGTTTTTGAATGGCAACTGTTTTTTGATAGCAGCGGTTTTGCGTTTTCTTTTCCATATCCCCAACATAGCCCTTTTTCATTGTGAATCATAAGTTCTAAGAACTGCAGTCTACCATTCGTGGGTCGTTCGACTGTAAACTTCAGTTCCGGGGCTGCCGATCTGATCAATGCTTCCAGAGTGTCAGATAATCCCTCCCGAAAAGAACAGATCAAAATGTCATCGACATATCTTTTCACAAAACAGGATTCCGACGTCAGTTCTTGCAACCTATCAGATACAATGTAATCCAACGAATTTAGGTAAATTTCCGCTAACGCCGGTGCTACACTCGACCCAATGCATACTCCCTCTTTCTGTAAATACTTTTTCCCTTGATACTCTACTATTGTTGACTGCAAGTAATAATCAAGAACGGCAAGAAAACTGTCCACCGATATGCCTGACCGCGATTGGAACCTTACCAAATTCATTTCAAGCACCCCTTTTACCCTTTCCAACAAACGACTCTTCTCTAATGAGTAATAAAGATCCTTGATGTCCATTGACAACATATCTCCTTCCTTTCCATGATGACCTTCGAGTACCGTGATCAACTCACTCGAATTTCTCAATGACAAAGACTAATCTGAAGTATTTATCTAGAAGTATTTACAGAAATTTATCTAGAAGTATCTATCTAGAAGTATTTACAGAAAGAGGGAGTATGCATTGGGTCGAGTGTAGCACCGGCGTTAGCGGAAATTTACCTAAATTCTTTGGATTGCATTGTATCTGATAGGTTGCAAGAACTGACGTCGGAATCCTGTTTTGTGAAAAGATATGTCGATGACATTTTGATCTTATGGCGCACCGTGAATTCACGAGGGCGCCCATCAAACCGTTCGGCCAATCTTGGCCGCGACACGATCACATGGTCGTGTTGCCGCGGGGTCGATCGGGATCTCGAATTCGGCTCCCGACGCGCCGCTTTCTCTCCTAGCCACTGGAGGGCGCTGCAGGCGCCCCCGTGGCAGGCGAGGAGAAACCTCCCTGCCCATCGATGGATATATACTCGGTGGGGCAGGGGGCGAGAGGCCTCTAAGAACTCCGGACGAGACCGAGACGCAGGCAGGCAAGTGGGTGGCGACCGGATCTAGGATATCGCGGGACGCGAGGCCTAAGGCATTCTTTGTGTTTAGCGTTGGGCTTAACGTGCGGTTGTAAATATTTGTGTAATGTAGCTTGTATTTGTATTTTAGATTGAGTGTTTTGTAGAGTTGTATTTTATTGTACGAATAAACGGGGAGCGGAATCCTGCTCCCGTGAAAGAACCAGGCTGGACTCGGTTTGTTGACGGACCACGTGGGAAATGGCGAATCGGCGGCGGTACGCGATTTCCTACAATCTGTTCTTTTCGGGAGGGATTATCTGACACTCTGGAAGCATTGATCAGATCGGCAGCCCCGGAACTGAAGTTTACAGTCGAACGACCCACGAATGGTAGACTGCAGTTCTTAGAACTTATGATTCACAATGAAAAAGGGCTATGTTGGGAATATGGAAAAGAAAACGCAAAACCGCTGCTATCAAAAAACAGTTGCCATTCAAAAACAGTCAAAGCAGGTATTGTCAAGTCTTTAATCACAAATGCAATGGACAGATCATGTACTCATTTCTTGGCTGAATCAGTGGAAAGACAATGGAGAAGGCTAAACAGTGCTGGTTATCAGGATGAATTCGTAGGGAAGCAGTTATCCGTAAAATTCGCAGACACATGTAGAGGAGAACCAAAGCAAAGGCCAAAAAATAGAACTACTGTAATTCCGTACTATCACAAAATTTCTCACAACTTGAAGGCTTGTGCAAAAAAGTTCGATGTTGATCTGGTTTTTAGTTCGGACTACAAGTTGAGTAAGCTCACGCCCTTCCACAAGAGTGTAAGGGAATGCACAAAAATGCATCGAGAAAAGTCTATTCCGTGTGATAATGGAGTGGTATACGAAATTCCCCTGGAATGTGGTTTTAAGTATGTGGGTCAAACGTCGAGGTGTATAAATGATAGATTGACTGAACACAAAAGAAATGTCAAAAACAACGCGACTGATTCGGAAATAGCGAAACATGTTCAAGAATGTAATAATTGTATACCATGCTGGTCCGAAACCGAAATAATACACAGGGAAGTAAACGACATCAAAAGGGTTGTAAAGGAAACAATAAGAATGAAGTCAATGGGCAACTGCATTAGTCAAGTGTCGTTACAGCTTAGCAGCAGTGCAAAAACCTTCTTGCGGATTTGAGAGTTTTGTTAAGTGGTTGTTGATTGTGAAAGGGTGTAAGTGGTTTCCTCCTTTGTGTCTTCGGTTTGGAGATCAGGTGAATTGGCATATTTTTTGTTGCCGGGTTGTTTTGGGATTGTGGGCCGGGGAGGAGAGGAGGAGGGTGTGCTATGTACGCGAAGGTCGATTGTCTTCCGGGAGAGCGGAGCTAGGTTGTGTTGGTGAGGGAGGGGGGGCTTTGTAGGATTGTCAAGGTCGTTTGATTATTGTGGTGGAAAGAGATGAGTTCTTTGTTATCTTTTGGCTTCGGAGGTCGCGAAGGTTCTGTGGTGAAGATTGTGGAGTGTATATAAGAGGGTGACCGAATAAACTTGTCTTTAGCTGTGTTAGAGACGTATCCTCGACTGTTCCTTTTTTTTCTTCTATATTGAAACTTCCTCTTTTCCTGCCTCACTCTCAGGCTAACATCAGAATGAGTAAAGGGAAGGGGGGCGCCCGCGTGCCGCGCGATCCACGCTGCGTGGTTCGGCTGTTCGGCTCTGCTTCGCTTCGCTTCGAAGCCGGCGTGGCACCTTGGCGCACGGCGCGCCGAGGCGCCGCGATTCCGGCACTTTTGGACGTAACAACCGGGAAAGCAAACGTAACAGGCAGGAAACTAATACATATATCTCTATGAAAGTAAAACGGGACCGGCGTTTTTCAACGCAACGGACAGGAAAATGTATCAACCAAGAACGTATCAACGAGGTTCTACTGTATATGGCTTCAGCAGCAAGCAATACCGTAGTTCACAATAGGGTATGCGTCGAGGAAGTCAACAAATTTACACAACTGAACAAAAAACAATGCAAGCCCGATCATGCTGACAAAGACAAGGGAGCACTTTTCATGTTCCATTTTTCTTTTTTTTTATTATTATTTAGCGGATTTAGCGGGGAAGTTGATGGTGCATAAGTTGCATAATCGCAATTTCCTCTCTAAATTTAGCGGGGAAACAAAATTGGCACATAGGTCACGCAACATTGGGTCACGCCACATTATTTTCTCCGCTAAATTTTCTCCGCAGACGTTACGTGACGTAAATTTCCCGGCCAAATTTGGTTGTTAAACTGAAGGTCACCGTGACACGAGTTTCCCCGCTAAATTTCGCAGAAAACTGGCAGTATCTACAGAGTCGATTTTCCTGACAAATTTAGCAGGGAAAACTGAATGGGTGTGCAGGTCTCTTGACATGACATGGAACACTCCTTTGTGACAATTTTCACATAGAAAGCAACCTGCAAAACGCGTTCCGTGTTATGTTAAAGAGGTGCAATGATACTGAGCCATGCTTCTGCGGCACGAGAAGTGTCAGACAACTTGGTCCACAGACCCTAGGAAACATGATGGCGAGTATTCTTTCTAACTGCCTCAGGATTTGTCCGAACAATAGCTTTCTTTTACAACCCAGGCCACATGAACCTGCATGCAACAGGCAGAAGTTTGTCAAGCCAGTTTGAATGGACCATATTCGGAAAAAGATCTGCACGTCCGCAAGCCCTCCTCGGACGGCGGTGCAAGCTCTACGGTCGGCGTACAAAAAAAGAGTTGCGCCAGCTTTCCCGCGTAGTTCGCAACTTCGCCCGGCAGCTACGTTCCTCGGCTGCGAGATGTCGCCAAAGCTCCGTGCGTCGTACGAATGTCTGCCCCCAAGATCCCCCATCCCGTTTTTCTGGCTACGTAAGTTAAATATTCCGAAACATCACCCGCACAAATTCTTGTCGGACATCTCGCACTGTACAATGGAAATTGCGTTGATCCTGCGATCTGCAGAATCGGTACCCGTGACGAGCGAGTTCGTAGATGGCTCCCGCGTGTTTTTGAAGCACTGCAACACCAGAGTTTGACGCGTCTGCTATCTGTGCGCGTGATGGTTCCCGCAACGTGCAAGTTTGCAGTGGGTTACCTCGTGTTTATTGCACCCCAAAACACGAGCGTACCATGCACGCGATCTGCAGTGGTGTCAGTTTCTGCGACATGCAAATTTGTGCCGAGCTCCCACGTGTTTACCGTACCGCCGTGAAACATGAATTTGCTGTGCCTGCAATCTGTTGTGCAACTTCCTACGTCGTGTAATGCACTACAATGAAAGTGGCATTTGACCTCTCGTAGTAGGTCTTGCAGAACGCAAAATGCTGGTTTTGGGCACCCATCAATGCTTTTGGAGCAGGTGACACCACATGGCCTTGAGATCCAACCGGGCTGCCACCGTGCAGCCGCGATTGCAAACATCCAAAAGTGTGGACAACGTGGTGTCATGTGCTGTAGGCACACGCTGAGAAGTACAGATCTCGACAACTATCTACGTCGAATACTCGTGCGTTTTTGTTTCATTATTTCAGTAAAGTCGTATTACTTTTTGCGAGTGGTAATTCAGCAAAGCAACAAATACCAAGTCGGATGCTTGTTGGGTAACACTGCTGCTATAGTCTGTACAATTGTGGATTCTAATCATTTTCATTCCTCGCAGAACGAATAGCTTTCGCAAAATAATGAACTCTAATTAAAACCCGGCATCTTCAAAAAAAAAAAGATTTAACAGTGCGTCTGACCTGAGCAGGTCTGCCGTGAGTCCGTAGGAGACCCCCAGGTAGTCGAGCCGCTCCGGCCGCTTTTCGCTCAGCCGCAGCAGCAGGGGTGGCAGGCGCTTGCGGGGCTCCAGCCGCTCCCTCGCCGCCTCCTCCGCTCCTGTCTCGTCCGCTCCGGCAGCGCCTGGCGTGGCGGCCTCCGCCTCCTCCAGGCTCGGGGTGTGGCCCAGGTGGTACTCGGTGAGCAGCTCCAAGGCCCGCAGGCCATACCCCATCTGGGAAAACGTGTCCCACTTACTCGGGGTCCTTTTGACGCACTATGTGTTTTGTGGGTCCTTTTCTACAAGAAATATAGTCATGAACAAGCAACAAGCTGAAAACATTATGCAACAAAAAAAAGATATATAAACAAACATGAGAGATGCCCAGCGGGGCTCAAACCTGAGTGGGTGCAGTAACAGTCGGGTACTACAGCCACTGAGTTGCAAAGCAGAGCTACTCTGGAAGCTTGCACTCCCGGCAAAACGTGCTGGCAAGAGCGGTGGGACGTCGTGCCATGTGGTAGTTTGTGCGGGACATGTTCTGTGGTCCCTGGTCTTTGTCAGCATCATCAAGGTTGCGTCCTTTTTGAAAACTACGAGGGTGATTAAACTCACTCACTCTGGCTGTAGAATTTAATCTGAACCTTTCCCCACCCGAGCCTATCGCAGATTATTGCGTAGGCGAAGCCTCGGCCGATTTGCGACAGATTTGTCGTGCCATACAATGTTGTCCGTCTATCCGAAAGAATCGGTTCACATGTAGGCCAAACGTCATCGTCGGTCGTGGACGCTCCTTCTTTGTGGCTGATGCTTGTACGGCCTTCTTTGAACTTCTGTATTCACTCACACACACTTCTCCACGACAAAACACTTCCTTTACAGTGTGCGCAAAGTCTTCAACAAATGTCAGCACCAAACGCACCCTCGGAAAAAACGCAAAAAACAATGGCTCCCTTACTCATGCAAATCACGAACGGGGCAGCCATTGTTTCTCACACCTCAGTCACAACTGAACTGCCTTCACACGTTCTAGCCTGCACAGCAGTGACTGGAGACACAGCCACCTCGTACGAAAAGCATCGATAAGGCGCCACCAGATGTTTTAAGACAACCAGAGTGCAGACAATTTTTTTTGTCACCCCCATAGTACAGTGTAGACGGCATATAACGTATGTCGCGGGAGTCGCGAAACTCCGCACTATAAGCGGTACCGCGCTATAACCAAAACATCAATTTTTCAGGCCAAAATACATGCCAGGAGACAACTTACCTTTGTAAAAGAATTTATTTTATGTTAGGTGAAAAATAAAGCTTAGTTTGAGGAAAGTCTTCATTTCACCAGACTAGTACACTTCTCTCTCAAGTGTGTCACACATTTTGAAAGAAATGAGTGACTTGCCTGGCGCAGCCTTTTAACGACGTCGCGGGTTGCGGACGGACGTTGCGAGCGTTCAGGATTGCTAACCCTAATCACTTTTCTCCGGTGATAAAAACATGCGATGAAAACGCATCCTTTATACGGTACGCGCCAGTAATACCTTCAACTTGAGCACAGGCATGAAATGCTCCAAATAAGAAATCCGGGTGATGTTCGAAAACACTGATGCTAAGAAACCACCACTGTAATCGAAGTAAACAAACACGACGACACGGGCGTTCCTGCCGTCTTGAGAGTGCCGCCACAACATCGCCGCACGAGTAGGTGGATCTTCCCTTCTAGTACGTGCTGCCAGGGGCGCCGGAACAGGGGGTGCAGGGGGAGCGACGGCTCCCCCTTATGAACAACTGAGGTAGCACGGCTCCCCCAATTTACCGCAATCACAGTTGTTTTTTTTTTTTTTTTTGCGTTTATTGAAATTGGTTTTTACAGAACATTTGGCGCCTGCTGTTTTGTGGCTGCCTCTCCGTTTTCGTTCAGTCAGATTTTCGAGCTATCACCCCAAAAGCCGATCATTTGGGGCCTAGCCCGAACGATAAGCCCCCAGCGTAAACCTGGCCGTGGAGAAAAAGACCCTGGAAAAATAGCGATTTTGACGTTCGCCGTCTTCAGCAGATAAATTGTTGTAAATGACCTTCGTAGGAAGAATTCGTCAAGCTGGCCTCCCGTCGCAAGTACGCGGCCTTCGGGGTCTTCAAAATGCTGGAAGCCGTTTCACTGTCAAAAGAAGTCTTCGGGAGCTTGAATAAACTTAAAATGCCCACCCAATTCACTCGACCTGGCCGCCTGCCACAAGTGCGCGACCTTCAGAAGCTTCAAAAATCTCAATGCCTGGGGGAAGCGCCAAGATAATTTTTGAAGACCGCGTCTTCTGTTTGTTTTGCCTGCAAAGAGTTTTCGGGAGCCAGTCTAGTGCCCTTGGGGGCTTCTAGCGTTAGCCGCACTATTCCTGTGAGTGACGGTGTCGGCGAATGGAGGGAGCTGAGACTAGGAAGCAGGAAGAAGGCGACTCGCTTTCCTTTGGCCGGTAGATGATTCTTCGGAAGCTTGGGGATAAGCGGAAAGGTCTGTGCGACGGGGGATTACTTTAAGGATCCTGACAAGATCAGGCAGCCTTGTTTGGCTTAGAGCGACGTCCTTTTGTTGGCTGGTGCGGTGGAGGGAGATGGGGCGGAGCAGAGGAAAAATTGAAATGCTACTGCCCAGTGCCAACATCCTTTATAAACAGCGTATCTGCTGCTGGAGAGTCTGTTCTCTCTGTCCATGACGCGACTGTGAAGAAGTAAACATATAGAGCTTCGCCTGTCTCCAATATTTCTGAAGTCTTTTTCAACTGTTCAATCCCCTGCCCCAGCTGAACTCTCGCCTTCATATGGCCTCAATTCTTCAAAGTTTTTGAGCAAAACCCTCATGGTCAACAAGCTCCTCGTTCTGCGACGATCCACGATCAGCAGTCTCAGCGTTCTCGACACCCCTACTGGTAAGCCTTCAGTTTTATTGTTTGATATACTTATATTATTAGCAATTTTCTTGATTTTCCCGACAATTTCTGGTTGCAAAACAGTAGTACTGGTCACAACGTCAGCTTTTTACACCACAGTAGCAATCTTTACTGTAATTTTATAAGAACTAGAGTCCCCAAGCACAAGATAATAATAATAATAATATTAATACTTTATTTTTCATTTCAAAAAATGGTGGAGGCCGAGAAAAAAAGCCGTGTTTAAACGGCTTGACGAGCCCTGGGCCTCCTCGAAAGTTCGCCACGATGCCCTGAGAAAGGATTTTTTTGAGCTGGTCGATACTCTGACGGCGGAAATTTACAGGAGATTCACGCAGCCTGGACTCGACGAGCTTGTTCGTCTAGAAGGAATTGTGACTGATGCCGCCAAGACGAAGCCTCCCTCTGCCGCAGTCTTGGAAGAGGAACTGGGGCTCCACACTTTTGATTTCGACGTCTCCCGGCTTGCTGCACAATTGATAATGCTGCCGTCACTTGGAAGCAACAAGTGCGACACCATCTAAGATGTTCATGCATTGCTGAAAGATCAAGCTCCAAACGTGAAACTAATTTTTGAGGAAGTTTTCAAACTTGTGCTTCTCGTTCTCACGGTCCCCGCGTCGTCGGCATCATCCGAACGATCCTTCAGTGCCATGCGACGTATGAAAACTTGTTTTCGAAGCACAATGTCACAGGAAAGGTTGACTCATCTACTCTTATCGCACGTGCACGGCGCGCTGACGGCCACTTTGAGCTTAGATCCCGTAATTCAAACCTTTGTCGCACGAACCGCGGAAAGGAAGTCCACGTTTGGCACAGCATGACTGTGAAATGTAAAAATGCCTAAGTGTGTTTGTGCGACTTTTGACCAGTTATAACATCCCTCAGGAGGGTATATTTAAACTCTATATTTATTACAAGTTATTGTTATTAGCACCGAGAAGTTTCACTGGCTCCTTTTGGCGGCCTGCCAGAGTGAGTGAAGGAGACAATATTTCAGCCGAGTCAACTTGCGAACAGTTGGGTATCGGCTGCTGATAACTGGGAAGATCCTTTTTGCTTTATTTTTCGATAGCGTGATTGTATTTTGATTAGTGTGATCATAATCTCACGAGAAAAATCTCTGTTCTCCCCATCATGTCTCGGTGGAAACTGTAGCGATGCTTCTGTGCGTTTTTACGGCCAATATTGTTCGTTTATTTTTCTTTGTTTATATAAAGTATGCACAAGATATGTAAATTAGGTTTATAATTGCGTTGCCATCATTTTCTCGCTGACAATGTAAAGGCACATTACTATTGCAATGTGACTTTAGGTCTACGATACAAATATGCGCATGTTGTAATTTTTCCTGGAGCTCGTTTACAACATTTGCTTGTTCGTTCCTCCCAGCTGACGGTATCTCACGCGGAATCTTTTTTTTATGTTTCATAATATCCTATTGTATGTCTGGAGTTCATATTATGTGATTAGTGAAAATCTGTGGTACTGCTGACCAACCTTCCTTTTTTCTATCTACATATATACCGGGACACGTGGGCTGGCTTGTGTGTACGTGTGTAGGTTTTATAACTTTGGTGGTCGCTTTCAAGGCTGCCTCAGCGTCAGGGCTACCGTGTCATCGATTTATAGATTTCTCAATGTTACCCCTGTTACGTTTAACTTGACCACTAGTTCTTCCTGAAATTCCTTTCCTAGGTTTTCTAAGCTACTGGGACTGCTTTGGATTAGAGTTAATTTGCGCCATCAGTATGCATGTATCTTTCATATATCGCATTTATTGCCCTATTCCTTCTAATTACAGACTCCTCTCTGGTATTTGGTTTCTCCATAATTACGTTAATCATTTATGAACACACGAGAAACGTCATCGTGTAAAATAATGCATGTACATAAGCAGTCGGTGTGGTCAAATAGAATATCGGTAACAAAAACTTGAGAAAACGCCACACAAAGGATACATTTTCGGTTCTAGCTTTTTAATTATCTGTCACAGTTAGTGCGCTCACTTGTAGCGTGTTTATATCATGGTCTTATGACGGTGTGTTAACTGTGTTTATTTATTCATGTAATCATATGCACGACCCCTGTATAGTGCCTGCATGAGCCATCAAAGAAAATAAATGATGATGATGATGATGATGTTTATGGTTGTATTTTTTTTTTTTTTGCTCCCCCAGGGGAAAAATAGTTCCGACGCCACTGCGTGCTGCGTTATCATAGAGACACAAAGAAAAAAACATGGTCAAGGATAGCGCTTTTACGGGGAACGATGAGCTTCCACTACGCCGTCGA